TTTCTTTAGCTCTCAAAAGGACATAACTTTATTAAAACTTCCTTATTCGGATATGTAAGTGCGGCTTTATTGAGAAGCAGTTACATATTTTTTGTGTGGAAGTATTTCGAGAGAGTGATTTGATAAAAAGTTGACTTGAAGAGTGGAGAGTTTAAGAATTTTTTACTGATGTTTCAAAGATACGGCGAAAATATTTCAGAAACTAAAAAATGAGTTGTTGGAAGTTACCAATTTTTTATTTGTTACACGAATAGACAAATACACTATATGATGAAAAACATGTAACATTCCATGAATGTTTTTTGCTAAATTTTTATCAGTAACTACTAACTTAACCTTTTTTTAAATCGGGTGGTTTATTTAAACATTTTTTACGCAAATGGCCTTCATGTGGCGGTTTTTATTCGCCAGTAGCTCGAGTAATAATTTTCGACTATCTGGTCATGCCCTCGCCCTGTTTTTTCCTGACGACTTAATCTGCATACATGCAATGTGATTACGTCACAAGTGGAACAATAAGTTCGCGTGCCTGTCGAAATAATACAAGCTTATTGGCCATTATATATTGTTTTGTTTACATTTTCCGTCGAATAAACAGAAGAAGTCGTCGATCATGACTCTGTCAATTATCCAAACAAAATGATTTATTATTTAAACCCGCCCGAATCAAATCCGAATTATTTTAATTGGTTTCGGCAATAAATTAGCCGATTGTGTATTTTATCAAATTGGATGCATAAATCTGGACACAAATTAATTACATCGATTTTATTTACACTTTTATTTGTTTTACTAATTTAAACGGCGTCGTAAATTTACGCATAAACGGGAATTATTTCAACCAGCTGGAAAATATTTTTTAAAGTCGCATGTACCTACGTAAATAAGGCCAAAAATGGCAAAATTCATTTATTCAAAGCTTTTATATCAAATTCCTGCAAGAATTAATTTTGATTTATTTACCATCTTGCTGTCCGAAAGAAGTAATTCCATTAACGGTTTCAGTTATAGAATAAATAACTGCACTAGTGCCATTAAAAAGATTAAACTCTTGCCTTTGATAACTTTGAGGGAGAAAAATTTAAACAATATTTTAGAGTAAACTTAAAACTTTCTTTTGATAATTTTTAGTGGTGTAAATAGTAAGAATTTTAATTAGTTGCAAGGATTTATTTACAAAATTGCATTTCAACCGGAACTCAAGTCAAGCTTTTTCTTTTTAGATTTATATCATTGCATTACTCGCAATTTTATTATGTAAGAGATCATAAAAGTAACTCTCTACTTATGCAATTTAGTCATTTTAATATCCAGTGCCCATCTGAGGATTTCCTCCGTTCACATCAAGCCAATAGGAAAAAAATCAAAGAATTATTGTTTTCTTCGAACGGAATAAACGAAGCGTTAAACGTTTATAGTTCTAAGTAGTCGGTTCTGTCGTATATCTATTTCACGCCTACAGGAATTCGATTCAAATTTTTCGAAAATCCGTGATTCCAGTCTTATTTAAATTTATTTCGTTCCGAGTAATTTCATTTGCGATGTGGCAAATTCCTTCACATTTCACACAACGTTTTTATTGTTCTTGTATCTTAGAAATTATTTCCGTGACATTGAGCTGTAGTGTGGAGTGTACAAAAGTAATAAATCAGTGGGCACGTTCATGTCGCGGACGCCACATAAGATTTTATTGTAACAGAGGGAAAAGTAGATTAAGAGCAAGGATATTCATGTCTTTACGTACATCAGGCGAAACCTAGAAGAAAATTATTGCCTGACGAATGCCCTCGCATACCTTCGTTTAATGCTAATGTTTTGATGTTTGCCGGAGATAGAACTACGGATTTTATAGCGATTTTAATGGAACAAAAAATGGGTTCGAGTAGAAATGTGGCAATAGTATTTCGTTCAGAGGTTGGGAAACAAAGTGCCGAAATAAAGAAATGGTCCACAGCGTTCAATTTTTTAGATAAAGTAATTTATTGTTTAATTTTTAGGCTTAACTGTCTAAATTAATCGTAGGGTAATTTTGCAAAAATTGGGCTCCAACATTTACCATTTTTGCAACTACTCTATTGTTAATTATAATTTACTTTGAACGTTTTATTAATTAAATTTAAGGCAGTTTTTATAGTTTTTGTAAATTACAGAATACCTACTTAAAAATATATTACATTTTTAGCTATTTTGTTTATTTTATTTTACCTATTCCACAAAAAATACATACATACATATGTATTAAAATATACAGTGAGCGGCAAAACTATGGAATAATCTTATATATTAAAACTGAAAAAACTTTGTTTTGACAAAAATTCTCTAAAAGGTCGATTTTCTTTTTAAAAAATACAAAATTTTCAACTTGATTTAAAATTGTTGTTTTTTGTTGTTATTACTTTACTTTTTGGATGATTTTTCTTTCGAAAACTTTATGTAATATTTAATATTTGGTGTTATTATCTCGACAATTAAAAGATCTATCGAATTGGCTAAAAAAATTAGGAGTTTCCATTAAAAAAATGTCGATCACGTCATTTCTCAAAAACCATAGAGAGTAAAATTGTAAATCAAGTTGAAAATTGTGTACTTATTTAAAAAAAAAATTGACCTGCTCGAGCATTTTTGCCAAAACAAAATATTTTCAGTTTAAGTTGTTAAAATTTTGCTATATTTCAGTGATGTATTTAGAAATTTTGTATTTATTACTTAGGGTGGTACACTTGTATTTAGAGCGAAATTTTTGTATGATATTGTAATTCAATCTTTTGGAAAAAAGCGTTTTAGCGGTTGGAATATTCTATTTCTTGATAATAGTTATTTGTATTACAAGGGAGGAAAGTGTATCTTTTTCTCCTACAGGTGAAAGTTACGTAGGGAGGAAAAGACACTTTTCTCCGGTACGATCCAGCAAGAAAAGCTTCAAAATAACAATTTTTCTTGATATCCCAGTTTTACCTTTAAACCTAGCAGCATGTTTTTCTGTTTCTATAGGAGAGGTAAATTTTTTCCTTCCTGGGGAGGTAATTGGCCACTTTCCTTTGTGAAATAAAAGTGGAAAAACTTACGTTCTGTGAAGGTCGTGGGAAAATATTTTTGTGTTTCGCGTTTAATAAACTCAAGCTATTATAGTTGGTACCAACAATATTTGAGACTCATTATATTTAGAATAAGACGATTACCCCCCACGGTGGTTCATGGGGCTTGCGGTAGAGATACCATAAACAAATTTGCATTTCTTAGGACAGGCACGTTTCAAAGGTTTGTAGGAAGAGATGGTCCGTAACAGAAATTTGTTTTTGGGCTTTCATAAAAAAAAAATAATTTTAATATTCAACCATATTTTGAGATTGTTTCTTTACAAATTTGCTTTATCACTTTAATATTAAATTAATATATAAATTCCCAAATGTTTGCCTGTAATAAATTACCTACCACGAAAATTCCTGAATACGGCTCTTTGTAAATCTTCAGGGTAGTACCACCGGCAGTGAAAAATTATTACGGCCGACCGCAAGGCTGGTTAATCCTCAATAAGGCTTTGCATACGTCAATCTCAAATATTCCTGGTGACGACTATATTTTATTTAGTTTTCGTATTCCTGCAAATCCAAATTTCTGCTCGAGAACCCCATTTCAATTTTCAGGTGCATGCCAGCAGATAGCGACACATCTGCTCAATCACACGCCTATCAATGCAAATTTCGGCTTATATTTGCTTTGCTAATAAAGTGCGGGAATCAAGCTATATGTGTGTCACTGATTTGAGATCTCGGGATCAAATTAATTTGATATTTGTGTAGCAATGGCAGCGGTATGTATGTGTGCGCTTTCGGCAATCTGTGTGTGTGCCTTTATCCCAATTTGCTTCTAGCGTGATTAGTCGATTTCATGCCTCACCAAACCCCTTACCCTACGCCGCTGCTAATGGCAAGTGTTGTTAACTTTATAGTGGCAATATTTGCCTACATCCTAATTAACGTCTTTGTGAATTAATTCAACACTGATTTGGTCATATACTCATTTTATAAAGTTTCATTTTTAAGTGTTTCATTTTCACGTAAACGGGTTTTCTAAAAGCAGTATTAGCGAAATTTCTTGCTGAAATAAATTATTAATGCCTCAGAGAGTATTATATTAAGTTGGAGAAGCAGCTTGTGTGGTCTTGTTAGAGAACGAAACTCTAAGTAGATTATTAGTTATCCTTAAAGGATATGAAGCAATTAATTGTTTTATAAAAGTTGTATTTTTTTGTCATAGACCTCAATGAGGTTTTAACACTTTTGTAGTTTTGTAATTTATTTATAAACACACCGTATAAATACTGCTTATATCATCTTATACACGTTTCTTGAAGTGACGAGGTCATTACTAACACTAAACAATTTTTTAGGTAATATAAGGAAGATAATTGTTTTGTGTTCAGTGAATGTAATTATAGTTTTTCAGGTTGGAATGTTTGCAAAGTCATGACAGTGATACCAATCGGTAATTGTTACGAATCAATTTCCGGCATTCCAAAAGCTTTTCGAGCTTTTTTCAAAAAATAATCAAATCGTGCTTTTACGATTTTGTAATTTTATTAGATGGTTGATAAGGCCGTGAACATTAAGAAATTAAAGGATGATTCAACAATTGCAAAACGTATCAGTAGTTTCATCTATTAACCTTGCATATATTTTATTGCAAAATGATATCGACAATTACTCAATCAAATATTGTTTCAAAATTTTACAATTGGAACACTTTTCTGGCGAGAGTAATATTTACCCGGCCTGAAAATTTTCCGGTTTCCGATTCACCGGAATTGGAAATTGCGTTCACTGTCACTGTTCACACACTGGACCAAAATCGTGGGTGCGGTGGGACCTTGCTCTTCGGCTCCGTTTTCGGTGTTAAAAATTGCGTAAATCTTAAACACTCGACGGTTTCAAAGACAATAGTTGAATTCTTATTGCATGACCTAGAGAGGAAATCAAACGTTGGGATTGGAGCGCCTCTTGTGAGCTTCTGAAGGTATGGTGTTGTTCAGTCGACCAGTAGACTTCAAGACGTTCACTTCTCCCGCTGATTTGAGCTTTCCCCCGTGCTCCTCCACCTGGTGAGTAATGACATTTTACCCCCCGATGACAACACCCTCGACATTTTTTAATCGGCGTTCAGTGACATTCGACGAGAGAAAGTGCGCGGACGGGCTACCGGAAATAGTGACGAGCGACTAAGACACCAACCTAATTAAAAAAAAAAAATATTAAGCGGTTATTTAATTTTTTTAAATTGCCTTTTATACATCTGTGGCTTTTAATAAATTAAAGCACTTATTTATAAATATTACCAAATAAAAACTGGAGACATCAACGCGTGGTGAAGACACGAACCCAACTCAAAATATTTTAATATATTTTTTTTAAATTTAATTTTAAATAATACTGAAGATATTGAAGACGTCTAATGTTTTTTTAGTTTATGTATAAACATTATTTAATCCAAATTAAATTTTTTTTTATTGTGTAGGTATGGAATAAAACCGTTACCTAAGAAGATGGTTATTGGAAAAAAATTAAGACACAATACGAATCAATTAATAAAATATTTTTGAAAACTTTTGAATATAAAATACCTAAATTTATTTTATTTAGTGAAGTGATTAAATTGATTTCTATCAAGGGATAATTTGGACACAAACACATTTTTATTAGAGTTGTTTTTCCTTTCTTTACATCCGCGTGCGTGTTTTGAGTAAAAAAGCGAGTCATCCGAGCTAATCTCTCAATGGCCATCGGCCATAAAATCGTCTGGTTGTTGGAGAAAAGTTAACAGTTCTTGTTACAGACGAAGCGAAACCGTTTTAACAGTTAAATTTCCAAGGCCATTTCACATAATCATTCCGGTTAATTTAAATAAGTGCAATTTTTTGTAGATAGAAATTAAGAGTCTCGTAACCTAATTGAAGATTAATTTTTATGTTTAAGTGATTTACGAGTTAGAGAGGAATCAAGGAAGTTAGAGCCCCACCTGAAATAATTAGCACCGAGCGCCCCGTCGGGACAATTAGTTTAAAAGGTGTTAACATTGGTGCCATTTCCTGAAACAATTTTTTTGAATTTTTCACCAATTTATTGCCAGGATTTCGCTTGTAATAAATGTTTGCACCGATTGTCTCAAAAGTATTAATCAAAGCGGTCTCTGGATACGTTATTTAAAAAAAATTGCACACATCCTAAATTGTCCTCGTAATTGTTTACCTGTAATTTATGGCCGCGAAAGTGTCGCTTTTAATTAATCATCATTTTAGGAATTTGTAAATTATATCATTAATTCGAAATGAAAATTTATTGAGGCTCGAGAGGTATTTCAGTGTCAACGGATTAATCAAATTGGGGGGCGTTTTTAATTAACGAATTTGAATTTATCGATTGTAGAAATGTCAAGTTTGGGGGTTAAACGATCAAACATTTTTATCATTTTCAGATTTACTTGTGCAATCCAGAAATTGGAAATGTCGTTTCAATTTGTTACGATTTGTCTCTCTAAAATGATGGTCGAGTGCTTGCTTTATCAAATCCTTTAACTAATTTCGTTAAAAATCGGCGGTTTTTGTTCGTCCGCTTCAGTATTGCTTTGTATTATTTTCGTTCCTGAGCATTTCACGCTACATGCTTCAAGATTGATATCTTTTAAGAAATATAAATGATTCTGTCACAAGCACCGTCTATTGCCCCTCCGATTTAATTTCGAACGTTGTCGCTGGTGAAAAAATCGAATTTTCTCATAGACTCTCATCTAACCTTTCAGCGTGTTCCATAATTTGATTTATACATTTTCAAGTCGCAAAAGTGGATATTTCAATTTGATAAAACGATCCAGATTTGGCGATAGTATATCGTATCATGTTTGAATTTTGCATTCAGCGCAATTTCAGCGTCTGCTTTTGAAATTTATTGAAGAATCGGAGCGATGACATCCGATTATAGTTTGATAACACGTGAAATAAGGCGAACGGTTGTGACAGAGCGATATCGACAACAGATGCTCAGATAGAAAGTGGACCGTGACTCGAATATGAGATGCTGCAGATTGCTCGGAAGTGAGCGCTGCAAAGCCTCAACACTTTCTTCGAGATCTTCCGTGTCACGATACACCAAAGAAAACACTTTGAAAACTGGTCATAAGCGAAAAAATTTCTTAAGACGAGAGCTACTGTAGGTATGTTCTGCATTGCGTAAGGTGCTTAAAACGGTAAACACGGATGGGGTTTAACATTGCGGAAATCTTTAATTGTCACTACTTGACTGAAGGACGGGAAAATTTCAGTTTTTTTTGGCTGTTGTGTAATAGAATGTCATAATCAAAAAAATGTACACGAAAGTAGAAAGTGAGAAAATAGATAGAAAAATAAAAAAGAAAAATGTTTGATCTGATGGTTAAAAACCACTTCCTGCTAAGCGAAGTTTTTAACGTACGACGTTTTGACAATACCATGTTGTTGTATACTGGGTGATTCATCTCAGCTCCGGTCTTCTGTAGCTCAGTTATTATTTAAGTGGGAATTTTGATATTTTGTAGACTTTATTTATATTCTACAGGGCATTTCAGGAAAATATTTTTGATTATACAGGGTGACCCAAAATAAGTTACTATACAAACTTATGTTTTTTATATGTAGCGTTTCTTGGCATTTTTGAATGTAGCTTTTAATTTGAATTTAATTTAATTTATTTAATTAAACTTCTATTAGTCGATTTTGCTTAGTTTTTGCATTAAGTTGTTTTTTTTTTTGGCAAAAACATCCTCTTTTTTAAAAAAAGTGTCTATAATTAATAAGATAAAAGATATTTAACTATAAACATAAAAAAAATCATTATTTTAATAGCCAAAAAGTGCACATTTGCACTAGAGATGGAAGAAATATCACTCAATAATCACTTTTATGTTACACTGAATCCATTATTCTTTATTTTTACAATAAACCTATTCAGATTTCGATATTTATGTCGACTTTTACAATTTCTGATTTCTGGGCAAATCCCAAATAACTGATCAGTGGTGAAATTACTATGGTTGCAACAATGCTCATTTTAACGATAGGCATTGTTGCTACAATTATAAATATCTTTTAATTTATCAATTCTAGACATCAAAAGTTTATTTTTTTGAATAGATAATTTATCAGTTTATGAGATGCAAAAATAAAAAATAGGGTGTTCCATTTAAATTTTTTAAGTAGTTATTTAACTGTTAACAAACTTCGACATTTTTTTAACTTTTTGACTGCAATATATTAAAAAAAATTATAGTTTTAAACTTCGTACTTTCTCCTTTACAGTAATATTTTTTTTTCAGCTGTCTTAACTTTCTTTGTAATACATTTTTAAAAAGAGGATGTTTTCGATAAAAAAAACAACTTAATCCAAAAACTAAGGAAAATCGACTAATAGAAGTTTAGCTTAAAAACACTGAAATTAAAAGCTACATTCAAAAATGCCAAGAAACATATGGTGTTTTATTAAAAAAAAACATAAGTCTGTATTGTAACTTATTTTTGGGCCACCCTGTATATTCAAAAATATTTTTCTGAAATGCTCTGTAGAAAATGAATAAAATTTACAAAATATCAAAATTGCCACTTAAAAATAACTGAGCTACAGAAGACCGGAGCTGAGATGAATCACCCTGTATACTATTCTTGATCTCATTATTTAATAAAATTTTCAATACTTATGTAGACTAGAAAAATAAACACTAAAAAAACAAATCAATATTGTCAAACCATTGTCCTTTTTCTCTTGCATTTTATGATTGGCGAATAGTAAACCGATTAAAACATAGTTCGTTAATAATTCAAAGATTAACATTGAAATCAGCTTGTGTCACAAATATTTAATGAACTATTAATAATTTAGCTGATTTTTCAGGTCAAACTAAACAAGATTATGCAATAATGATAAATTCAAAATAATGCATAATAAAAACAATCAACTAATTTAGTAGTTCTTTTATCAACTATATATTTATTGAAAAGATTCTTTCTCTAAACATAAATAAATAAATTTTGAAATCAAATTTTTTACTATGCAATTGTGACGAAAAGTTCTTGTTTATTTAAATAAATTGAAAAGTAATGTTTTGCTTTGTTGCCAGTACTTTAGTACTGTCTAATTGATTCACACCACCAAATTTGATCTCCTCGCCGCACCTGATCCTTGTAAACGTGCCACAAGGCTGCTTTGTCGGGGCGATCGTGTATCAATGCCTAAATGTCACAAAGCCTGCAATTGTTTCAATTTTAGTCACGTTTCGCTTTGAACAATCCTCATGAACTTTATCGATCTTGCCGAAAAATTTTCATTCACTGTCGTTATGGTCAATGATCCGCGCGAACTGCGCCATACGGAAGTACATCATTTATATCATCCCCAATTTCCCTCCCACGTGTGTGCTTACTATCGATCGCGTCTTATCAATCGTAACGACTCTTTGATATTCCATCAATTCATCAGCGACTCTATCGGTACAAGAACCGACGTCGAACATTTATCTCAATCTTCTTCGACTCTCTCTTTCACGGGTGGCGTTTTCGCTTTACCTTTCTCCGGGTTATGTGTGCCACACGCACGTAATTACGCATTTAAAAACCGAAACGTAAAAGCATAATGAGCGAACATCAATTTTTATCTTGCCAAACAACTGAGTTTTTTGTGGAGAGTCGAATTGGATAACTTCCAGATTTCGGATTGCCGGAGGAATCAAATGTTATTGTATCGCGGTAATTGAAATTTCAGATTTTAGATGAAATTCTAAAGTTTCATGTCGCTTCGAACTATTATTAAACTACTGGTAGGAAGTGATAAAAAAATCAGGAACTTGGTTTTGAAAAAATTAGAGAAAGCAAGAGAAAATAAAAATTCTCGAGATAACTGTACCTAATCGGTATTGACAAAATTATAAATAAATTTTAGGTAAAAAAAATCAATAAAAATTTCGTTAGATATTTATTATTATTAATCCAAATAACATAATTAGCTATTCATGCACATAAATTTCACACCGCGATACAATTAATAGAAAAAAGTTTATGTAACTTTTTATTAATTTCAGGTT